TGAACTACTACATTTCCTACAGGCGCATATGAAATTCGAGATATTATTGATTATTTAGATCAAAATCTCCCAGAAGGGAAAATTATTAGCATTACACCTCATATGAATTCCACAACAGTTTCTCTCAAAGCCAATTTTACGATTGATTTTTCACAGAATGGTACCATTGCATCCCTTCTCGGATTTCAATCTCGACGTCTTGACCCAATCATTAGACATACGTCTGATTTTCCTGTGCAAATTTTGAAAGTGAATTCAATATGTGTTGCTTGCAATGTAGCCACAGGCTCATATTCCAATGGTGTGCCAAGCCACATTATCCATCAATTTTTTCCCTCTGTTTCGCCCCGGGTATAAAATCGTTGAATCACCTCAAAATATTTTCATATTTCCCAGTGAGTGTTAAAGCAATCACAACCATTACCGTCAACATGTTGATCAAGACGGTCACATAATTAATTTTCGTAACGAGACACATTACACTTCGACTTCATTACGATCCGGTAACAATGGGCATTAGATATACGCGCCTCCGATCTCTTTTCCCTATAAAAGCGAGGTCAGTCGAAACATCTATTAGTGGTAAGCCTACGCAGAAGATCATTTCGACAACAATCAACATTGCAACTTACTAACGAATAATAGAAAATTTTGGAAAATCTAGGTTTCAAGTGTTGTAGGATGAGTATTCTCAACGTTACACAAAAACCTCTTGTTGATAATTCTATTACAGAACTAGAGTATCACACTTATCAACCTTTTATCAATTCCAACTTTGACTACAACGATGAAATTCGCATTGCTGTTCAAGAACTAGATGCCTATACCATCCCGTCACAAAGTCTTTTGTATCCCGAAGGAGAATTAACCAAAGCCGATGAACTGCTGTTACTACTAAAAACGCTGATGGAACTACTGTTACAACTCTGCAATTAATCAATAACGCTTTTGCTTTTCTGTTCCGTGAGCTCCGTTATGAACTGAACGGAGTTGTAGTCGATTCCGTTCGAAATGTTGGCCTTACCTCCACCCTTAAAGGGTATCTGTCTTTTAATGAAAATGAGAGTTCACGCTTGCAAAATGCTGGCTGGTTCCCAAAAGACACTTTTATTTCTGAGTCTGGCAAGTTCAATGTTTGTATTCCTTTAAGCATGTGGAGGGGTTCTTTGAAGACTATCGAAAAATTCTCCTCAATATGAAACAGGAGTTAGTATTAATCCGTAGTAGTCATGACCTTGATGCTGTTGTAGCAACTACTACATCCGAACAACCAAAAATTCGGATTGATAAGATTCAGTGGAGAGTACCCCACGTATCTGTTGACATTCCTCAGCAACTAGCTTTTACAAAAATTCTCAACTAAAACATGGAAATTCCACTATATTTTCGCAGTTGGGAACTAGTAGAGTATCCATCACTCCCTGAAACAACGCGTCACACCTGGCCAGTCAAAACTACAACGAAGCTCGAGACCCCTAGACATGTTGTCCTAGCCTTTCAAACTAATAAAAACAAGTATCTACCTCCAATATGTCACAATTTGATCATTGAAGTTGACCAATATTCGGGTTTTCCTCAACTCCGACCGCTTCCCATATAATGATCTCTTTTTGGATTTTAAAAACCAAAAATTTGCTCTCCTTGTATGAAATGTACTCAAATTCCGCTCCTCTCCATTATTAGAGTGAAATGACCTCTGTTTTCCCCAAAAAGATTTCCTTTCTATGCCCATATCACACATATTGATTGCTCTAAACAGAAGGAAAGTATCCAATCTGGATCGGTGGGTTATGCGAATTGTAATTTGAAGACAAGTGAAAATGCTCCTCCGGAACATCTGCTTACTGTCTCATCCTACACGATCGCGTTTTCACCGACAACCCTGTAACCAAAGTGTTTTAAACAGCGATAGAGCTTAATCAATCAGGACCAATTCCACAATATAAATATCTTTGTTCAGACTAAATCTCCTTCATTCTCATTATGACATCATCCTACAGACAAGCTCTCAGAGAGTATTATCAGAATTGCAAAGTTTGAAAGAAGCACTCAATTCCTATTGTCAAAGACGCATTCTATATACAAAATTCTCCAACTTACAAATATGAGTGTCGTTTTGGATGTTCAAGGATTTAAAATTGAAATAATAAATTTCTCGCAAAAGAATTTTGCGCCTATGATGGTGTTAGGTTATGTCATTATATTTTCAAAGCTCCTTTTCCTTGGGATCTGCTGCCACCACCGTTGAAGATTCAGGCGAAGTGGTTGACTGATAATTACCATGGTATCTCCTGGAATTCAGGGTTTACACCCTACATAAGTTTGGAAACAATTATCAAACATATTGCGGATGGGGCAGACAGAATTTATGTGAAAGGAAGTGAAAAAGCTGCCTACCTGAGAAACTTCACCAGCAAACCAATAATCGAGCTTGAAGAGCAGCCCCGCCTCACCCTTCACCATACAACAGATATTTGCATGTGTGCGATGTCTAACGTTTTTTATTTGTATGAAAATTTCATCATGTCATAATTTTTGTCAATAAACATGTTTCTTCATTTAATGTATTTTTTACCACTTCCTCCCACATAACACTACACAATATTCCTATCTTACAATCTTTATTATTTTATAAATACATCAAGCGTTGCTTCTTCCCCTCTATTTTTACATTACATTACATACTCGAAATTTTACTAAACCTACTTCTTACTACTTTTATACATATCACAGACATACCTCCACTTAATAATTTACACTTTGACCTTTCTGTAAACACTGTTTGCCTATAATCTACTGTCAAGTATTTTTTAACACTTCTCGACTAGTTGCACTCGCCTTTGAAACCTACATCTATCTGCCACTCCCCGTGACTTCTTCGAGCTTCTCTATATGCATATTGCCATGCATATATGATATGTACTTTGTTTTTTGTTTCGTTGAAGGATACGGTCTTTGGAATAATACTTATATGTCACCTTCATTGCACATGTTACTTTTGCTGGTGCACTTTTTAGTCACCCCACTACTTTTTCCTTCTACCAACATTGTCTCCACTCACTTAAACCTTGCTTCCGCTGCCAACAATACCTCCACCCTCTGAAACCCTGCTTCCTTCACTGCTGCACCTGTCGCAATCTCATTCTCTCCTGTATAATCCATCTTAGTCTCGCACCACGACCCATGCCTGGAGGTATACTTCTCTGCATGGGCACCTGAATCAACTGATTCGAATTAGAACCTGCTTCATCATTCCAATTCTCTTCCACTACCACTTCCGGCGCCGGATTCCTGAAACCATATCGGCTAACCGGTGTGGTGTCTATGGGTGTTCGGGACCCAGATGGAGGATGCTGCGGTGTGGTGTTCATAGGTGTTCTGGACTCAGATGGTTGATGCGGCGGTGTGGTGCCCATATGCGTTCTGGGCCATGGGTCGTCCCAATTTTCTTCATCAGGATGTATTCTGTTGAATGGGCGTATAACCGCCACCGGCTTCCCCTCCCACACCGTCGGCAACTTAAATGTTTGTCTTGCACTCATTGTTTGATTCGTGCTGTCTGCTAACGACTGCCTCCTCTCCGAGCGCTGCACTAATTTAAACACATATTTCCAAGGTCATACCGTCTACCACTAACGACTTCAAGGTCACATTTCAAGGTCATATTTCAAGGTCATATTTCGATTCAAGGTCACATTTCAAGGCTATATTTCAAGGTTGCATTTCAAGGTCATATTTCAAGGCCATGTTTCAAGGTTACATTTCAAGGTCACATTTCGAGGTTAAATATGCGTTCAAGGTTGGCTCCCAAGGTCGACTCTCAAGGGCGTTCTAGAACAGACAAACCCTACCTACTATCATCGATACGTGAAGCAAGTAAGTCTACTGCGATACCAGAAGAAAATTTTCAAAACAGGCAAAGCATCAGAAGTAGCGATAAATATGATTTTGAGAACAGCGATCGGATACCCACAAGTACACCAACTACCAATGAAATGGTTGCTTTGCCACATATGTCCTCAAACACGTTCGAAACATTGAATAACTCTCCAAGCTCAAGCAATTTAGAAAGAAGAAACGAGGACACGTATTATTTCACAGAGTATCCAGATACATCTAGTAGGTCTACAGATATGCATGTTGACTTTGCACATGATGCTCAGAATACTGGACAAGTTTTGAAATCTGAGCAACATATCAGAAATGGGGACATAATTAATACATCCGGATCTGCACAAAGTCACTTGGATAATGGAAATGGAATTACCATAGAACATTCTAGTCTGTACAATGATAACAAATATACAATTGCTTCTGACAAAACTGTATCTGACGACAAGGTTGTTTCAGCCTCTAAAGTTATTGAGAAAAAGATGCCTTTTGAGTCTAGAAAAAAGTAAGTGGAAATTGGGAATTTTAAATTATAAGTATTATTTTTTTTATTAATGTGTTCGTATCCAGGGTGCTCCAACTCGTGAGAATAATGATATTGAACCAAACGTGTTTTAGTAAAACGTTCCTAGTTGCTGAGATATAGAAGTTTATCCAAGATATTTTTTTCTCATCTTATATATTTTTGGGTACAATTTCTACTTCACCTGAACATAACACTGCCAAATCACAAACATCAACTCTTGAGCAAATCAGAGCCTACAATGATATTCCCTTATCAGTTAGTGAGATTGACAGTCAGATAAACGAAAACGAACATAGTCAGGCACACATTTTAAATATAGGTCAACAGCCATCATCAAACGACGATATTGAGAAAAGCCTCGGTAATATCTTGACACTACCTTCAGATGATAGGGAGTATGATAATATATGCGAAGTGACAAACACTGATCCTGAAGCAATTGTAGAACTTATTACTGAAAGTGACATGGAAATCAACACGCGAAAAAGAATCAGTGAAACGTGTGACAAAATGGAGGTCTGTCCTGTTGCATCACAATACAAGGATACATCATCGATACGTGAAGCAAGTAAGTCTACTGTGATACCAGAAGAAAATTTTCAAAAGAGGCAAAGCATCAGAAGTAGCGATGAATATGATTTTGAGAACAGCGATCGGATACCCACAAGTACACCAACTACCAATGAAATGGTTGCTCTGCCACATATGTCCTCAAACACGTTGGAAACATTGAATAACTCTCCAAGCAAGCTCAAGCAATTTAGAAAGAAGAAATGAGGACACGTATTATTTCACAGAGTATCCAGATACATCTAGTAGGTCTACAGATATGCATGTTCACTTTGCACATGATGCTCAGAATACTGGACAAGTTTTGAAATCTGAGCAACATATCAGAAATGGGGACATAATTAATACATCCGGATCTGCACAAAGTCACTTGGATAATGGAAATGAAATTACCATAGTACATTCTAGTCTGTACAATGATAACAAATATACAATTGCTTCTGACAAAACTGTATCTGACGACAAGGTTGTTTCAGCCTCTAAAGTTATTGAGAAAAAGATGCCTTTTGAGCCTAGAAAAAACTAAGTGGAAATTGGGAATTTTAAATTATAAGTATTATTTTTTTTATTAATGTGTTCGTATCCAGGGTGCTCCAACTCGTGAAAATAATGATATTGAACCAAATGTGTTTTAGTAAAAAGTTCCTAGTTGCTGAGATATAGAAGTTTATTCAAGATATTTTTTTCTCAGCTTATATATTTTTGGGTACAATTTCTCCTTCACCTGAACATAACGCTGCCAAATCACAAACATCAACTCTTGGGCAAATCAGAGCCTACAACGATATTCCCTTATCAGTTAGCGAGATTGACAGTCAGATAAACGAAAACGAATATAGTCAGGCACACATATTAAATATAGGTCAACAGCCAGCATCAAACGACGATATTGAGAAAAGCCTCGGTAATATCCTGACACTACCTTCAGACGATAGGGAGTATGATAATA